TGTGTGTGTGTGTGTGTGTGTGCCCGTGTGTGTGTGTGTTCATGTGTGTGTGTGTGTGGGCAGGCCCCGGCTGGGCGGGGTCTGTGTCTTTTTTTCTCGTTTTTATGTTTTTCGTTTTTTTAATATATACGAACTTTGAAAAAATGCAAACAAAAATATGGGGTAGTAGACTCCAAAATATCTACAAGACTGTATTTTTTATTATTTTTTTTGTTAAATTTTTGGCTGCAAAAAAATCTCTGTGAAAAAAAAGAAAAACCCACCCATTTCATGCTGTTTTTTTTTTTTTTTTTTCCGTTTATGTTTTTGATTTTTTTTAAAATACAGGACTTCAAAAAATAAAACAACAAATACAAGGCTGTAGATCTCAAAAAGATCTACAACCCTGTATTTTATTTTATTTTATTTTTTTGCTTTTTTTTTTTTTCTGGGGAAAAAAATACTCCCGCGCCCGCTCAAACCCCGCTCAAGCGCTTTTGAGCGCGGGATTGAGCGGACCTCAAAAATTTGAGCTCCGACCCCGCGCTCAATCAGCGCACTGTTTCACAGTAGGGGAGTAGTGTGGCGAGGCCCATAGCTATGCTCACACGAGGATCTCTTTTACTTATTTTGAATGTAACTGCCCCCAGATACATCCACGTTCGGCCGTAATTATGGTCAGATACATTAAAGATGTGCTCGTGAGATCTTATGCTCTACCATCTTATGCCACGTTTGCTTCTTTTTTTTTTTTTTTTTTGGAAAGGCTAATTCCTTAAGCCCAACCAGTTCAATTACTGTCAAATCTGGACAGGACAGCCTTTGAGGCCTTTTTTGTTGTCATTATAGTATTACGGGGAACCCTGTAGCAGCCACATCTGTGCTACAGCAGGTGGCACTGCGATACCTGCTACAGCAGGTGGGCGATACCGGCCAGGGGTCAGCCGGTAGCATCAGGACCGAGCTTCTTCAATGGGCCAGTCACTGTGCCTCCCCTCCGGTCCCCTCCCCCTATGAACATCAGCAGTCTCTGCTCAATGCCACTCAGGGGGACCAACAGCATATCTCTAGGTGGCGGGCGCCAAGCTTGCCCAGGAAGGTGCATGAGGCCAATGGGGATTGAACCCAAGACCTCCTGAATGCCACTTTTATGCCTTACCAACTGAGCTAGGCCGCTGGATTCTTCTCTCAATTTCACCTCACACTACCTACCTACCAATACTCCTATTTTGCTTTTTTTTGTTTTTTTTTTTGGCAGTCACTCAAGTACTCAGCCACTCTGTTGTCCAGATGAACCCCTTCTGAAGACCACACCCACCTTTACTCTCATCTTTTTGCCCTGGCACCCCCCCACCCCCCCTGCCCTACCCTAGTGATAAACCACCAGTACTTGGCCCATACATCGGCAACGGGCGTTTCCCATTAATGCGACTGATGGGCTTGGGCCTGATGGGCTTTGGCCTACCGGACCACTATGGCTGGAGGCGCCAGCCAAAAGAAAGACGAAACGACACGGCGGCGGCTCGGCAAAACTTGGCGCGCAGGGCATATTCAGGCTCGGCATCAATAGCTGGGCAAAGTACTGGTGGTTAAACCACACAGGACCATTACGCATTACCATCTTGGCGGGGTGACCTTACCAGACAGCGGTCGCAGGCACCGGGGCTAAGCAGAGACTCCTACCCCCTGCTCAGCCCCGGTTGAAGCAGACGTCGTGCAAGCCTGGCATACAGGGGAACCCGTAGCAGCCAGAACCGTGTTCACCACGAGAGAACATGTGGGGGCTGCTCCCGACCTGCAGGTGGGCGATAAGGGCTAGGGGACAGCCGGTAGCATCAGGGACCGCATGCCAACAGGACCAATCCGTGTGCCTCCCCACAGGTCCCCTTCCCTACGAACACCAGCAGACTCTGCTCAATGGAGATCCGGGGATCCAGTGGTCTATCTCCAGGTGGCGGGCGCCAAGCATGCCCAGGAAGGTACATGAGGACAATGGCAATTGACCAAGACCTCCTGAATTCCACTTGCGAGCCTTACCAACTGGATGCGTTTGCTTTTTTGACAGCAGCTGCAGAGTTCGAGGCCAGATCGGTGGTGTTTATGGGTGGGACCTCGCTCCACTACTCAAGACATGCACAGACATCCGTTAAAATTGGAACGATACAGAGAACATTAGAATGACCCCTGCACAAGGATGACACGCATAAATCGAGAAATGGTCCAAATTATAAGAAAATAAAAATAAGAAAATATTGCGGTGCTTCTTCCCATGTTCTAGCCGAAAATTCATTCTCATTTTGCACATTTCGTGAGTAGTGGAGCCAGGCTCATGGTCTCTTCGCATGAAGGAGAATGGGCCTCACTCCGATACTCGACAATCACAAAATCCACAAATTAGTGGAGCGAGGCGCCCTCTCAACTGTTAGCCCTCTCTCCAGTACTCACCAGATGTAAGAAATGGGAATGAACATTCCGCTAGAACAGGGCAAGATACCGCCACAGTTCTTGTGTTGGCTTTTGTGCATTGGTGAGTAGTGGAGCTAGGGCCTGTGGCCGCGTTTGCTGCCCTACCAAAAAACGCACAGAATGTTCAACCGTACGTGTGCCACAGCGGGGACATAAGTACGTTCTCAGGCCATGCGAACTGAACAGAAGAGGGCGAGAGAAGGGAAAGAAGAGGCGGTAAGACGAGAAGAGAGAGAGGAAGACGGAAGAGGAGAGAAGAGAGAAGAGAAAAGGAGCAGCGAAATAGCTGACGGTGAGAGCCGAGAAGAGAAGAGGAGAGAGAGGAGAGGACCGAAGAGAGGCCGAGTGCAAGCACCGACCAAGTCGTTGAACTTATGGAGATAAGCAGAGCCACGCAGAGTGTCCTGGGGAGAGCCTACCTCCAGACTATAGGCTCAATGATGGCTTTCTGGTTGATGATGCCTCTTCTGCTCGTGACGGTGATTAACACAGATGGTGACAGTCACGACAGCGGCGCCGACGGCTATGGAGGTTCCCGCATTTTGCTCGCTGCTGCCTCTCCAACTGAGTCGAGGAGCTTTGCCGGGAGGTACCTGGCTATGGGCCGGACAGGAGGAGGAGGAGGAGAAGAAGTGTTGGCAGCAAGAGGATCTGTCCACGTGTCGACAGCTGAGGGCGCTCGAGCATGGTCAGGATCAGACTCCGAGCACGCCGCCGCTCTCCATCGGCGGCGTTCTTCGAACCGTCGGCTGGCTGCGTCAACGTCGACTCTCCGTGGCAGAGGAGGAAGCTTCCATGAAGGTTCTCCACGAGGGCGTGCTCTTCAATCCACCGCAGCGAGCGACTGGGTGAATGTTCACAACGCAGCGAGGACTAATGTCAGTGTGGCTGGACTCAGCTGGAACGACACAGTGGCGTCTTCTGCAGCTGGTTGGGCCAGCACGCTCGCTACGACTTGCCAGATGTACCACGCCTCAAACACCGGCTACGGGGAGAATCTGTACATGGCCTGGAGTTTGGGAGCTATTAACATCACGCCATCAGATGTTGTGGGCCTTTGGGTGTCTGAGAAGGCCGATTACGACTACGCGAGCAACACCTGTGCTACCGGTAAGGTGTGCGGTCACTACACCCAGGTCGTCTGGAGGAACACCAAAGAAGTCGGGTGTGCTATCGCCTCCTGCATGTATGGGTTGTATAACGCGCAGATCGCTGTCTGCCGGTACAGCCCACCTGGCAACTATGTAGGCCAAAAGCCTTACTGACCGTCCGATTCACTCTCAGACTGTGAGTGAAAGCGAGTATGCCCTGAGTTTGCATCTCTGTTCGGAGGATCAAGTAGTTTTGAGCGTCAGTCTGACAGTCAGTCAGTTCTGCCTGAAAAGCATAGTTGTCGTAGCCTCACTCAGACGCGGTTGGCCATCGACTGCTTCTGGTAATAGAGCATTTCTGTCAGGAATGACACTCCTGATCTATTTGGCAACGGTTAGACGGCACGTGAGTGTACTAAAGAACGACATGGCCGATATAGCTATTGTTGATCCGTTTTTTTTTTTTCTTTTTTTTCTTTTTTTCCCCAATCAGATCAGTTATTCGCTATGTACCACTCCCTCCCCTGCCCCCCCCCCCCCTCCCCCCACCAAAAAAAAAAGAAAACATGTATCATTCTACCTGTGGTAGATATCATCTCTGCGGATTTTGTGTCCCTGATTTTTGTTATGGTCTCTTATTTTTCCTTCACTTTAGTTCAAGCTATGGTTTTCCGGGTAGACTGTGAGGACCCCGGCCTCAAATTCTCTATTGGATAATGTAGGCCTTGGGCACTGGGCCCGTGTTTTGAGAAAAAAAAAGAAAAAGAGTTCAAGCCTTGCTCCTATCCCTCAAGGATCATTGGCGCGGGGGGGAGGTCTATGGTCCGCTGCGCTCCGAAATAGGGTTGAAGTTTTGGTGCAGAGCGGTGCGCGTACCGAATTGTTCACAGCGCGCCAGCAAAAGTGACTCAGCGCCCACAAGCCCAGGCAGCGGCGGGCATAGATGTGATGGAATATCTTGAAGGGGCCAGCGCGGACTTTTTCTTTGTTTTTCTTTTTGTTCCGTCTGTTTCAAGACTCGCGAATTGTTCATTGCTTGCCAGCAGACATGAGTGAGGGTTTTTCTTTCTTTTTCTTTTTGTTCCATCTGTTTCAAGCCGTGTGCATATTCTTTTTCTTTTTGTTCTACGTTTGTCGTTTTGTGGATTTCGTGTCGTTTCCTTTGTGGCAGGATGGCAAAAGGCATTGGGGTGGTTGGGCGGGCGCAGGCACCCACACACAAACCCACCTGGTGCAGGCACCCACCCACATCCACACCCCCCCCCCCCCCCCCCCCCCCCCCCCCCCCCCCCCCCCCCCCCCCCCCCCCCCCCCCACACACAAAGAGTTGGACCCCACAGAAATGCGGAAAGGAATAATTTTTCTGCAAAACTGTTTCCGGGACCCCACAGGCAGTGGAAGACCTCTTGGCAAAAGAGAAATGTCTTCCAAATACTGGTTTCCGGAAACCCACAACCCGCAATTTATGGCGTGGAAGAACACGTATGGCCGTTTTCACATCGTCCACAACGTGGAAAAGTGGCTCCGGAGGACATCTCGCCGCGATTTTGTGCTGAAAGTTGAGAGTGAGGGAGGGAGTGCGCGGGGTACTTTCCAAGGTCACGCCCACCGTTTGAACCAGCAAGTTTCCTGCCCCTTGGCCTACCCCGGTCCTGGAGCCCTGCGTCACCCACATGAGGCTGCACGGTCATTCCTTGGGTCCAACCCACGCCTTCCGGACATTCAGCCACTTTCCTTTTCGGGGTTCTGAACGGGGACCTCTCCTATTACGGAATATCACTTGGGCTGCTACGTGACACCCGCGGCCTAGGCCGCGGGCAAAAAGTTGCCCGCGGCCGCAGCCCATGAGGCCCAGTCCGCGGCCTGTTTTTTTAATATTTTTTTTTACCCCTAAAAATATGTTTAAAAATATATATATATATATCATCAAATAGAACTGCCCGGTAAACCGTAGGCAGAGAGGGAGAAGAGGACAACAAACGAGGGGCTGTGACAAACTGTTTCGTCGGAGTTTCACCTACTCA